TACTAATTTACTGGCATTTTAAGCATTATTTTGGCAATTAGGGAAATATTTCAGCAAGAAGACCTCTGGAACGTACGATTTGAGCGAAGAAAAATTCAACATGGCTCGTCTGTCTAACTAACAAAGTGATTTTTAAATTTCTTTTGAGAGATTTCTGGTGCCTGATGAAGTTCGCGAGTCGCATTTGCATTTTACAGTGGCGTCCAAGAAATATTTTCATGTATATTGTTAATAAGTAATACCATGTTCACTCGTGCAACCCGGATAAAACAAGCACTCACGAATTTTTCAAAGATACACTAGTCATTCGGACTCGTACTATCTTGGCAGTCATTATTGCCAGACTCACTTTTGCACGTTTCATACAAATTTGACTCGATACATGTTATTATCTACAAATACAGTGCATATCGTTATGAAGCAAATTAAAAGTATATAACATTAAAGAAACACAGGGCGGCCCAAAAAGGCAAACCAAAATCGGCATGTTAATGTGCAACAAGTATTAAATTCATATATGTTAATAAAGACCAGGCTTGTAGCTGTCAAATGCCATTCTTTATCTTGAGGATGACAAATGGAAAATTATAATCCAATTTAACGTTAATCTTAACGCATATAACTGGGGACTGAATGCACACCCCTTGTTTTTTCAATAAAGTGTTAAAATTATGCTAATTTCGAACTCATATTGCAAAACTAGAATACTGGTGACGTAACTTGTGGAATAATTTTCAAATCTTGGTAAGTTTAAAGACGACTAAACTGCAAAGTTCAGTGACTTAAAGCATTTTACAAAAGCGGTAATGTTCCGTCTGAATTTAATTTCAACAATGTTCAAAAATTGGAAGAAAAATTATATTTCCAGAATGTGATTTAAAGCTAATTAGGTCACTTTTAATCCCAATGAGCCCGAAAGCTTTCCCTTGGGGCCTAAAATCACAATATGTATTCGTTGTGTACTGGAGTATCACTCTCTTTAATACCAAACACACGAAAAATGCCAAATTTGGATTGCTTGTTATTTGATACACCCGGCACCATAGTTACCTTAAATGATCTAATCGATGCCTTGGACGTTTTCGTACCTGAAGAGGAGGTGTTTATACATACAAGATGCCTGTGTCTGCATACGACAATTTGAGGGGCGGATCTAGGATTTTTCAAACATAAGTTGAACGCCGAAGGCGTGAGACATGGTAGGGGGGTCTGGCGGCATGGCCCACGGAAAATTTTGAAATCTAGAGTCTCTGAAATGCGATTTCAAGCGTTTTGGCGGTGAGATTTTGCAGAATTCCAAAGATTATAAAGTACATCAAGCACATGCTTTTTTTACGATCTCACAAACGTGCCTTCTCCCAGTCCTCGGAATTAGATTTACTAATGGAGGGTCATATTACAAAACACATCATGTAGTTTCAACTTTCAATTGCCTTTGAGTTTGGCTCATGAAATCCTTCGCAAATTGAAGTGATATGATACCAATGACCGATCCAATATAACTCGCTGTTTGGGAATCAAAATTCTCAAGCAAAATAAAGAGTAATATTCCAATTATACTTTGTAAAATGAATTTTTTATTCATTGAATTACAATACGCTATAAATATCACTTGTATTATTATAACGATATTCATCGCAAATCTTTCATGCAATGGAAATCATCCAAATGATATTGTTTTAACACTCAAATGGCAATGCTCTATTCTGGCCCTTTTTATAATGGCAATGGATTTATAAATTATAAATACAGCAGGAAAGCTATAATGCTCGAAAGCCCATTGTAAGTTGCAAGTCGATTGCGTGTAAAATGTATTAAAGCGTGTTTTATTTCAACTTCGCATTTATCATACAAGATACATTGCAATATATTAATTTCTGTTTCATAATTTTGGATATTTTCATACATTATAGCAGTGCACACTTTCCCTTTGGCTTTACCACCCAAATTACGACCATGATCTTTCCAGTTGTGAAGCACGTAGACGTTGTTCACAGAACAACATTATAAAAGCTGCTCGCTTGATATCTTAGCTTCCCCGGCAATAATCCTCATTCAGAGACAATTCAAGTTTATAAAAGGCCGTTAAATCGTCTCGTAAAATCGGCCGCGTACATATAAATACTCGACATCGTAAAATAATTCTCCCAACTATGAAAAACCTTCATATACGGGAATATGAAAGACTGCTTTGCATGATTTTCGCAATTTTCAAGTACTGATATCCACAGCCGCAATAAGTCCGAATCAGTCCAAGAAAATGAACCGATAGGAATTGTCAATAATTTCAAATTGACCAATCTAATTGAAAGAAATGGACTGATAAAAACTCCCTTAAAGTGCAAATCAGTCGGACCACCCCATAAAAACTCCCTTAAGTTGCAAATCAGTCCGATCACCCCACAATATTTTCAAATTGACCAATCAAAGGAAAGAAATGGACTGATAAAGATTCCCTTAAAGTGCAAATCAAGTCCGGCCACCGCACAGATCAGTCGAGATACGTCCAAATGACCTCTCGACCAATCAAATGAGCATAACGACCACCCGATTCTGCGAGATTCTTGCGTTTTACCGCTGCTCTAGATAAAGCATATATTTATTCAAAACTGAGCTCGTAAAGACGTATACTGGACTATGATATGAATTTCATATTATATTCGGGAATTAATTATTCAAATTTCGAAATAATAAATTAATTATTTCTTTGCAAAAAATACGTCAGTCACGCGACTGATTGGACTTACCCTAGATCCGCCCCTGGCAATTTCACTATTTCCTGTCGTTTACAACTACCGTATGCATGCAAATAATATTAAAAAAGGAACATTAAAACACGTGCTAAATTTAGTGGTTATCCAACGAAATTTTTCAAACTTTTTATGATTGCATTGCAAAGATAATTCAGAACGACGAATAAGATATTTCGCCTCACAACAGTAACTTATTTCGTTCTTCAGATAATTGACAATGTTAGTGCTGAAAATTACCCTCACTATAACGTCTAAACTGTGTGATGGATTTCTGAATTGTTGTTTGCCAGATTATATACGGTAAATATCGTGAATTGTTTATTAAAATTATTTACATTCAAGTGAATAATTAGCATGCAGTGTCTCAATTTAAGTATAATACTTCAACTTCTGATGGTTTGAAGTGAAAGCTTCCTCCGAGGAGCGATCTTGTGTTGGTTTGGCCGGCGATGTATCCTGGTGGAAGCTGGTAGGTGGTACCAAAATTTGAATTTGATACATCTTTGTTTTCAATGTGTAAGTCATAACCATTACCAAACGTTGGTCCTCTTACGCTCTGGCGGATAATTGCCCACTCATTATTTTCGTCTATCAGCGGAGCTTTGAAAGGTTTGAGGTCATCATTATTGCGGAGCGAATACAAAAATGATCCAGGGGCAGGCGCTTTATCATCTGAAAAAAATTATATTTTATCACATAAGACTGTCTGCCGCAACCAAATTAAAAAAAGTTCCGGACCGATATTTCTGGTAAACAGCTAATACCTTTTAAGACTGCATTCCTTCGCAAGCGAATAAGCTTATGTGTCATGTATGCATGAGTTAGAAAATGGGCTAGTTACGCATTCATTTAGGTCTGCCGGCATAGAAATACAAACGTTTGCTAATTTCTCGTCAACTTTCATCCAAATTTAACCAAAATTTAGTCAATTGGTCTATTGACAATATCCATTAGTCTGACACATTTTCGTGGTAATACGACTTGTAGTAATACGTCTAATGACGTGATGACAGACAAATACACAGACGCAAAGAGGCACATACAAACGCGGACGAAAACATAACCAAATTGCACAGGTAATTAATGATTCTTGTTATATAGCTAGTGTGAACACCAAACGTGGCTTTAGATAAATGCAATGTATCCCGCCCGGGCAATAAGTGAAAAATTGTTGCCCGCCCCGACCGGCTACGTACATAAATAAACAAAATGGCGGCACAAATTTTTACTATTTAATCTACTGTTTTCGTGGCTTTGGGTTAAAATAAAGAATGTAAAAGAGAAGAAAAATACATAACAGGCAACAGGATATGCTGCTGAAACTATTTAAGTAGGTTTTTTAAATTTTAAACTCGTTTACGCTATAGATTTCTTGTCATGAAATACAAATATTTTTGTACGAATGTTGTTCAATGTTGATATTTGTTTCGTCGCTATGTAACAAAACACTTAACGTCTTTTCCCTCGGGAAATAGTTAGTTTTGTTTTCCCTCGAATCTCAATGTTTCCCACGACTTCGTCGAGGGAAACATTGAGATTCTCGGGAAAACAAAACTAACTATTTCCCTCGGGTGCAGACATTAAGTGTATAATAATATTTCTAGCAATTCATGTCAACCATGTTGTGTAGCGTAAAGTGGCTTTATGCATAATAAAATTCATATTTACGTATCAGAAAAAAAGTAGACAATTTTGAAAAGGTTCTCAGTTTCACAAATCCGTTCATGTCATGAAATGTTTGATAAATATAAATTTTTGGGTACTTATAATGTAGCATAAAAAAAACATTAGCAGCATTAAAAATAGTTTGCGCGCGAAAGTTGGAAGGTTAAAGCGCATTTTCAGTTTATGGACGAGAAATTTGTTATGTGGTTTATTAATGGTCCAAATATCAGACATTTTGCTCAATTTTATAAGTCCAATAAAGCTGGAATTTTTTTATGCCCAGGGCCTTTTACGCATGCTTATAATTCATGCATTTACCTAACTTATATATGGTTATTTCACTTTTTTACAATAACAATATGCAAGTTAGGTAAATGCAAAAAGTGTCTACTTTTTTTGATACTCCCTGAATATAAAGCTCATCCTACAGCAAATTAGTGTTTTGTGGTGTGAACAGTACTAATAAAATAAAGGCATCTATAAACGTTTCTAATAATGACGTTACAACCATTTTTCATGTTAATAATATTTGAATTTGAATTTATTAAATTCAGTTTGTAAATCATTACAAAAAAACAATTTTTATACTAGGCAGAGTAACAATAGGACACGAAGTCCCTTAGAAGGATAACTGCCTCACTCTTACAATTACACTAAAATCAAAGTCAGTCAACAAGTACATAAATTCATGGTGTTGACACTACGACATTTTGGACAAATAATTTTGTACGACCTGATGTTGTTCCCATCAAACACTGATCGTAACCTTTCAAAATAGAATTCTTTCAACTTCACTCTAAACTCAGTTAAGGAACTACTAGCCTTAATATTAGAGAGTTTAAGTTCGACTTCCAATACCGATGTTTTCACTTCCGTTCTCATTTTGGTACCGGGAATTTTAAAGCGTTAAGTTATCACGACAGATAAAGTATACAGACGTTATTCGGCACCGAAAATGTGCGGTATACTAAAAGGCAGCTGAGCTAAAATTCCGACTAAAACATGACTCAGGCGATGCTAATAAACAAATAGTTTACATGTTTATCGTAAAAATTATGAAATATCCGATTTATATGTGTTTATCGTACAATTCCCCCGACATCCAATACAAGGCCGACTTCGGTAGTGGTGACTTCCAATACACTTGTCCTCGTGCTTCTTGCGAGCACAGAGCATGCGCATGACATGTTGTTGGTATCGGTATTGGTATCGGAATTCGAACTTAAACTCTCTATTATTAGTTAAAGCATTCCAAATATTTTACAATACGTATTAAATAAAAATATCTAAAACTGGAGGTTTTTGGAATACAGTTTTGTTGTAAATATAGACCTGAAGACGGGCGCGTTATTACGTTATTAATTAATTAGTTATTATTAATTAATAGTTTTCGATTTAATTAATTGTTTTTGAATTATCCTGTTGGAAGACTTACAGACATACACATACAAGCAAACGGGAACGAAAGCATAATGTCTTGTTGGAGGAAATAAAAGCATGGAAATAGTTTCTGGAGAACCAGTCACGGACAAGGATCCCTATTGTTTACTCTTCTCAAAGAAAAAGCATGCACATTTTAGCTAGATCTTATACCACCATTATTAAGTAGAGGAAAGAATCCGGCAATACATGCTTTAATTAATTATCATTGTGCCCCACATTCGAATGCTCTTTCCTATGAGGCAAAAATTGCTTCATCCTTTTAAATCGATTCTAAAACAAAGTATGAGTTGAAACTCACTGGCCAATTCTCGTCTTTAAATTAAACGAATTAATGATGTCCTGTTTTTTTTGTGATAACCTATGTAGCTATAATATTTTTATTTTCTTCGTACTGTTGGTACTGTTTATGTTTATGCCACTGGTCAAAGCAAGCATTAGCTAAGGCAAGAGTGATTAAATACAGGCCGTCGTCAATAATGCAAACAACTACAATAACAGAACAACGACACTGATAAAAATGATGTGTACAACTACAATATTCTCAATTGTACGTACCATTACTAGCCCATGTTTTGGTCGCAAATCCACCAAAAATCTTTTTTTTTGCATTCTTGACAACTTTAACAAATGTAAGTGTTGGTACTTTCCCATCACATCTAGCATGGAAGATTTCGCCTGCCCATCCGTCTCTTGTTGCCCGCCAACAAACACTCCAGTTTCGATCCTGTATAGTCCAGTCGATCAAGGTTTTTGTGAAATTCAGCGGCTCAGACGACAATATTTCTGACTCCAAAACGTTAACTAAATGTGTTATTTAGAAAAAAGAATATGTTACTAATAACACTTTTGAGCATAAACATGCGAAGTGAAGATGAGTTAAAATATAAGTGACTAAACTACAGGGTGTATCAAATAAGGTAATTGAACTTTGGCAACTTTACGTGCATTATAGATATTTTATTATATGGCAAGCATTTGTTTTGATGAATCGCGCAATTTTATTGGCTGCTTACAAGGCAGGATTTTCACGGCAAAAAGTGTCTGAAAGTCTTTCAAACTATTCACGACGAAGAGAAGTAAACGTAAAATAAAGAAAAGGAGCAACTGCTGTGGTAAAAGAACTTTCTCAATACGTTTTTGTTAGCGAAAGTCTAATTCGAAATTACAAGGTACATTTTACAATGTTTATAACTAATTAAAGCAGTCAGGAATTGTTGCAACCTCGTTCCCAGGGCCCTAAAAGCCACTGGTATTGTATGGTCACGTGCCTCGCCAAAATTTAGCGCCCGAGGGGGTGTGAGGAATCTATCAAATTACATGCTTCCCATGGGATATTATAAAAGCATAAATTTTGCGAATTATTAAGTTCAAAATACACTTGCTAATTTTTGTTTATTTTATTTGCTTTGAATTTACAAGAACATTCTTACATTTTTACAACAGTCAAGTCAAGAAACCGCGCAAATCGTTACTCCCAGTGCTCTCTCGTGTTGTTATTCAATGCTCTCTTCACACTCGAACGCGGTTTTATAACAAACGTTTATGGGCTTTTCAGTGGTCATCATTTCTACATATGTAATGTTTTTAAAAGACGCCATTAGATTTGTCCTTTCTTGTAAACGTTGGTATGCTTTGCACCGATTTACTTGTTACTACGCGTCTTGTGTAAAAGATTTTTCAAAACGGAAACAGTATTTTATTGTCTAGGACTAGAGCCCAATATTAGCAAATGTAAACATTTGATACAAGCTAAACAGATAGAAGCTGTCCATTAAAAATAACGGGATTGTATTCCACAATTCACGAAGCAAAAAAAATCAAATCTCACTTGTATTATTAAGAATATATATAAAGCAAGAAATTTCAACTTGTGGCAAAACAAAAGCTGTTTATAAAATTCATAAATGTGGTAAACACTACTATTAATATAAAGTGTGCATTGAAATACTTATAATTATAGGCCTATAGTATATAGGGCCTACTGTCGTTTGACTTATCTTTGATGTATGATTTTAATACCGAAGATTTTCAACAGAGAGCTAGACTTTAACATATACCATGATCGTTCAGTTTCAGCAATGCCAAGGGCCAATTCAGGAAATTTTATATATAGTCTTTTTACGGGCTTTAAGTTTTTTCACAAGGCCTTTAATATAAACAACAATCTGGATACAGTTGGCGTCTTGGCGATATTTCGGAAATCAAAAGATCTCTCTATTTCGTTGCAATTCCACATGTCATCAATAAATTTTTTGTTTGGTTCGAGTATATCAGGATATAAATAACCACATTGGTCGGTCTAGATCGAAATATATTTTTCCTTGTAGGCGTTATATTGCCACGCCACCCACGCGTGCTTTCTTTGGCAAGTCTATAAGTTGAAATCTGATCCAACTTGCTTGAATTGTAACTCGATACTAGATTATAAACTAGAAAGTCACATCACGATAAATATTAATTTTTAATTGCATTTCTCTTCACGATTTCTTTGAAGATTCAATGGCTATTGTTTATATTTTATTTAGAGCGATCCAATTGTGACAATATATACTCACTACCCCGACCCTAGTTAACAATATCCTATTTTACCCAAAATCTTGGTAAAACGTCATCAGTCCTTTCCAGAGTATTTCGCTTCAGGAGGGGAAGAGCGAATACCCTGGGAACAAGTTGGTATAGTTGTGTTTTGCAGTGGCGGCGCCAGGCTTCCAAATTTGGGGGGGCATTTGAGGGGCAAACTCAAATTTTGGGGGGGGGGCAAGATAGAATTTTTAAAAAGGTCGCCCCCCCAGGAAATTCGCCCACCCCCCCCTCAAAACGTGGCGATATTCCTAGGAATATCGCCCCCGGGGGCGAATATCCTAGGAATATCTCCTCCCAGGGGGGTGGGGCGAATACCCTAGGAATATCGCCCCTCTTTAGGACATTCGCCCCCCATATATGCGATGTGGTTTATTCAAATAATTTCGTGATACTTTCATCTTATTATTGCCTTACACGTTTGAGAATTTAACTCTTCA